AATACACGACACGTACTATACTTCTACGTACTACCAACTTTACGTACTAAAACGGTAAGTAGTAGCTACGACACTATTATAACTAATAATATATATATATATATATATATATATATATATATATATATACATGGATGGATTTAAAACCTGCTTCTGCTGAACCATTGCTCGAGCTTGGGTTTTTAAACCCCACGTCCACACTTGGGCTCTGATCCCTTGACTGCCCCCCTGTTGACATGCTATCGCAATTGCTGTCTGCATCAACCCAACTTCCACAAGAAATATTATCATGAGATACCCCCCTCCTTTGCAACTCTTTATTCAAAGGAGAAACCTTCGCCCCACTACTATTCCCTGGACTAATACTATTACTATTATTCCTACTCAAATTCTGAGCAGAAGAAGAGGCCTCGGTCCTTGAAAGCTTGCTAGCTCCAGGCCCCGAGCTCTTCATGCTCATACCATCAGCAAATGCCTTCAAGCTAGCCTCCTGAGGTAAAGGACCAGACCTGGTTTTGATCCTGTTGAGCCCTAATGTGACAACAAGGTTTTGAGATGGAGGGCAAGAGCCAAGGTCAGGTAACCTAGCTTTCAAATTCTCATCTTTGACCGAATCCACATGGATCTTCTTCAACTTCGTCACTACAGAATTACTTGCAGAGCGCCCCTTTTCCTTGAGGTCTTGCTTTAATGGTGATTCCTTTGGCTTGATCTCCTTCTTTTTGGATTTCGAGTCTTTGGCTAGGGTTTGTCGACAGGGGCCGAGGCCGATCTGAGGGTCCTCTTTCACTTGTCGGCCCTTCTTCTTGTCCGATCTGACCGTCAGATCGAGTGTCGGGGTTTTCGGGCTGCTGGATCCATTTGCGGAGGGTTCTGATGATGGTGAGGCCTGATGCTTGGGTGTGGATTGCTTGTGAGATGAGGAAGAGGAAGAAGAGAAGAATCTGCCTTTGAACACCATTTCACTCTTAAGCTCTAACTCTTCCCTCTCTACAACAACCAGACCTAGAACACCATTATCTCTTCTTTTCTCTTGCGAGAGTGACTACGTGATTACCAGTAGGTGGTCAGCCCATTGGACTTCAGAGGAGAGAGAAAGAGAATGAGGAGCCCTAAATTCGGGATTGGGACTAGGACGACTCTCGGACAACTGATAGGATGTTTCGGAGAAAGATGCAAAGGCGTACAGAGTCGTGGAAGAACTAAAACTTTTTTCCACATCTTGGATTTGTGCGGACAGAGAGTGAAATAAGCGCCAAAGGAGTAATTTCGCGGATCATACTATACACTTTGCGCAGAAGACCAATATTCTTTTCCGCAGCAATTCGGTACCTGGAAATGTGTTGTTTTTGAAATATATTACCGGCATAATACATTATCTAGAAATAAATTATTTCTATGTTTGAGTAGTATATAGATACAACAGGAGAAATACATTGTTATTATTTGGCTATGTCTAGAAGAAATATAGGATATATACTACCAACATTTTACTAATACGTGTATGTAAATTATCATTTATTTCTTTTTTGTCACAAAATTACTCTAAAATACATAATTATCATTTCTTTCTTTTTTATCACAAAATTCTACTAAAATACGGAATTGAAATCATCATCCCACCATTTCAAAAAGATTTCTAATAATAACATCATCACTTTTCCAAAAAGATTTTCTAATAATAACTTATACCGTTTTACAATCATCATAACGCTATTTCCTATTTATTTTACATGCCTTTGGCACTTAAATGGAATCACATGTTTTCTAACATGACATTGGTTTCAACATGATAAGTCATTGGAACAATATGACTGGAATAACATGATTTTATTATGATAACCCTTATTTTTCTTTATTTTTTATAGAAGTCTTTCAAATGTCTCTCTATATAATTTCAAATAAACAATAAATTTATGATGCTAAATTCAAAAGCTCTATGGTACCAGTTAAAATATGGGAAGAAATTTGATTAGTAAACGAGAAGGTTTGGTAATTGCAGTATAAAATTTTGAGGTATTGGAGGAGACTAAAGAGGTATGGTATTTCAATTGAGATTTTAGTAATCTCTTATGAGGATTATGTTGTGTGAAATTTTTTATTATGATTTGTTGTGTAATATATCATTGATTATTGATTTTTATTTTATTATTTTTGTTTTTATATGACAGTTGATGCTTTCAGATGAGAGGACGAACTTAAAAAGGAGGGATCAGTTAGTTATTATGAAGAGAGAGGGCTTACAAGATAATAGATTTCTAATCACAGATAGGTAGACAGAAACGCAGGCAAAAGATTTCCCAAAATTACCGGTCACTCCCATAATAGATTTTTCACTTATCATCGTGCGTAACGATTTCCTGATTTTAGAGAAATCTCGCGTAATCTCTTTCCATTTCCTTACGATTAAGTGTACCAAATACTGAAAATGCTATATTTCCTTGTAATCTATTGTTTCCGAGTACCCAAACGGCCCCTTAATGTCAAAATTATGCCATGAATAATAGGAAAATGATTAGATAGGGTTGTAGCTCCATCAAAATAAATAAACCATCACCTCATAGCTCATCAAGAATTACTATTCAAGCATTACAAAACCTTTTCTTCAATCATCTTGGCTTGAACATTATTTCAAGCTCTAAAAATCATTCATATTGCGACAAATTATTTAGATCATCAATTTCTGTCACAACCCTGTACCCTGACTTCTACTAAAGGGAGACAGAGTACGGGATAGTGACCAGAGGTTGCGAAAACCACTGAGGTGGGAGTGGCTCAACGCATAAAACAAGCGGAATCAAGAGCAAACCACGAAATAAAACTAAAAGAAATTCATTCATCAGACAGATAATAACACAAAAACACAGCCATTTCTATTAACATCCACTATCCAAAAATGCTTTTACAATTATTTTAAGGTACTACTGGCCCACAGAATAAAGAGTACAAAAACATCGCAGTGGCACAGCTACAAAACACCTACTATGAAAAACTTCTGCAGGATCTTTTCTTCAAAACTCCAAGCTTCACCTGTTCGGCACGCAAGCATCCGTCCGTCCTTCAGATCAAGACTATCACTCTACAATCATGGGAGAAAAATATGGAATGAGCTAACAGCCCAGTAAACAGATCTCCACCCTTGCATTTCAACTTTTATAAACGGTGATAGCAGTTAACAGTGCTCACTGAGTTACAAAGATATCAAGAAAGTTTCCTCTATTATGCTCTATAATACTCTCACAGTATAAGGATAAATACAAATCAATAATCAGGAACATGTAGTGCATAAATCATAAATTGTTTCATTTTAAGCGAATAGCAAGACTAACTGTTCACAGTTTCACACAATAGAAGCTAGAAGAGCCTACTCCTGAAATAGAAGTTCTATTGATCAGGTCAAACAAATCCTATAGCATGGAACCTCTACTCTCGTTTAGGAGGGATGACAATGACAAGTGGGTATCCCACTATGTAATGCCCTCACACACACGTCCCTAGCGCGCTTTGGGGTATTTGATAGGCAGAGGCCTTACAAGTGCCCTTCCGATGAGAGAGCGTTACACTACCATTGGGTGACCCAATGCATAGTACCAATAAAGATTTAGGGGGGAGAGACCCACCCTGTTATCCAATTTCACCTCTCGACTCTAGTCCTATCATTGGGGTCGAGGTACAGTCAACAAATTCCGGCATAACAATTTTCAACAGTATATCACAGTATAACGTAGTATCATAATACCCACTACCAATTGGTGGCCCATTGCATAGTGGTCAGTATCAGTATCAGTTTCACAGTCACAGTATAACAACACTCACTACCAATGGGTGGACCATTGCGTAGTGGTCAGTACTAGTAGGGCTTACAGTATTAGTATCACGGTATCACATTATCACAGTTCCAATATCACAGTATCAGTGTCACATTATAACGATATCAGTATATCAGGATGATAGTATCAGTATCACAGTATGACAGTAGCGGTATCACCATGTGATAATAGCAATATCACATTATAATAGTAGTAGTATCACCATATGACAGTAGTAGTATCAAAATATGACAGTAGCAGTATTACATTTTTAATATCACAAATAACATTTCATGTTATTTTAGACAGTGACATCCAAACATAAAGAGGGTCGTAACTTTTGATCCATTTAGGATTTGAAGACGGTTCCAAAACAAATTTTATACTAGCCATCTTTCAAATGGGGGTGAAGACAATTGGATCTCATTTGTCCTCTTAGAGGTTCAAGGAATTTGGGGTGTACTAGTTGTACCCTGCTGTGTACATGGAACAGCGACGTACCCTACTTTGTATCACTATAATTCTCAAATCGTGAAATATTTTGAGACAATTTCAAAATCAAAGTTTAGGCCAAGACATATATCTTTATAACAAGCCAGTATTTGGGCTCCATTTGGTTGTTCAAAAGTCTGTGCCAAACAAGGTGATAATTCTGAGTTTTATCAAAACTGTCCACAGTGACCTATTTTTATAAAATAAAGCATAACTTTCAATCTAATGAGATTTTCAAAATAATTTCTTCATGCAAATTTTAGCCCACTCAAAGACCTTTCAAATGCTTGATAGGAAATGGACCTCGTTTGGTTAGTTAAAATCAGTGACCCAAGTAGTGCCAGCGGAAAATCCAGGAAAAATAGTCAACAGTGATATACACTTATATTTTGGAACATAACTTCATTTTTATAAAGAATTTTGACAGTGGACAAACACGAACATTTTATTAGACTCGTACATCTTTCCAATGGGGGTAATTTGAGGCCAATCGGAGCTCGTTTGACTATTCAAAAGCTCCCTACAAAAACATATACAGTCCTAGAATTTCACAGTAATGCCACACATACGTCAAGAACATGTTCCATAACCTCAATTTCATGGTGAAGACATGAGAACAACTATTTTCGTACAATGTACACACATAAACAAGTATTTCTTATAGAATTTATGAATCATACTTTCATTTTCAGCATCAACATTCATCATAAAATAAAAGCCCCAAATTTTAGTGAACAAGGCATAAGAAATCGCCACATCACGTACACTTTCATTACTCATCTCATAAGCATAAAAATCTATGAATCCTGATGAAAATAATGCAATGGTGATGGATCCACTTACCTAACTACACTGAGATTCCAAAACTTCCTCCACAGTCTCCTTCTTCAAGCTTCATACAAGTACAATTCAATGGTGGACAATAGCTAACCAAAGGACTCAATGTTGGGAGGCTTTTTGAGTGTGTGTGTGTGTGTGTGAGAGAGAGAGAGAGAGAGAGAGAGAGAGAGAGGAGGAGCTGTGGTAGAAGTAAGGTAGGGTAAGGGAAGGGAAGGGGAGGTAGGTAGGGTAGGTAGACGAACGACCGTACCGTACGTAGGTGGACGTAAGGTAAGGG